GCACGGGCGTGATTTTGATCTACAATCTGTCATGTCACCTCCAATGTTTTTGAGACGACAACATGTTCATTTATTCAAGGTATCATGGTAGAAATTCTTGAATGATCTGAAATTCCTATAGGGGTCTCCGACTTCCTTTTTCATAATCAGGATCAAAGATTCTCCTCGACTTCTCATGAGCACACCCAATATATCCAAAAGTGGACCCGAACCGGTTCTAGCAGAAACAGCTTTGGATTCTCGAAGGATGTCTCTGTCAGTGGTGATATATCTTCAAAATCTCACCACACATGGCGACATGTGGGTACTGTTATCATGATAAGACAGAATTTCAATGACAATCTATAACTCAACTGCCTTGTTAGGTTTGAAAGAGCTAGATTAGATTATCAAAGGGCCTAACGCAAGGCTGATGTCAAATGAGGAAGAATAGAAGAGCAAATTCTGCAAGTCTGATTGATATATCTCAAGCTGGCCTTACAGAAAGACAATGGATTTGGAAACAAGGTAGGTGCATCAATGAACTGGGAGATACCACTTATATACTCTATACCTGGTCAGTCTATGAAATAGTAGAGGTCAACCCGCACTGATCGTAAAGATTGCTAAGGTTAAATTTCTTTACACACATACCAGGACTATCTAAGTCATAGTCGCCAAACATCAAAATGTCCGGGTACCTGTCCCGCAATTTAGTATCGAGGTGAATGAGGTGATTTATTGGTGAATGCTCGCTTCAATTCAACCGAGTCCCTAATGCAATTATCCGAGTCCGAGCAGCTACCGCGCCAGTGCGGCACATTCAAGATGAAACGTGTCGATCATTCCAAACGCGGCTGCCACGGGTTGGGTTTGATCTGAATTGAAAATTCCCCTTTTAGTATTAGACTTTAAACCTCGAGCTAGGTTTTGATCGCTGCAGGGGTTACAATTGGATCAAAATGGTATATTTCGGGAATCTTGAGAAGTTAACTCGTCTGAAAATGCAAGTGCATGAATTTAAGCCCTACGGAATATCAGAAAATTAGCTCATATTCGCGTCAATGGGAGTTATAGGAGAATTGGAGCGTATGAGATTGTATGTGATGCGGATTCAAATCGGATTCCTTATGCGGTGAGGCGCAGTTGGGCGTATGAAATGGTTGTTCGTCTCGAGTTCGAGTTCATTTACTTGTACGCATTGTCTACGAATTTCTCTTGGTCTTTCGGATACTTTTATTGTTCATGCCTTTGATTTGATTATTTTCTTATCTTTTCTATTTTTGACATCTATCCTTTAAGACTGCTAGACGGTCAATTGGGTTTCTGGATTTGTTTCTCGTGTAGTGTTTTTTCCCTTCTATTTTCAAAGTCATTCCTTTACTTTACATTTTATAGACGGTTTTTGAGAGATCGCGCGACATTCATTTAGAACTCTGAGATTAGATAAAGGAGAGGAAAAGGGAAATTACATCGAAGTGTTTTACGCAATTCGACGACTATACAAGAGAATCGAATCAGAGATATATGAAGGGAAACACGTCTACGATTGACGATCCTAAGAGGGACTTTATTGACATCGAATCGATTAAAAGAATTGAGAGAACACTTAGCAGCGAACCGAAATCATGGCAACCATAACTGAACCACAGCCTGTTCTTCAGAAATCGGAATATTCAAGGAAGAGGGATGACGAAGGCAGGATTGACGATGGGATGAAAGGGAAATTGAGGAGGGATACCATCAGTGGAAAATTAAAGTTTTGGTCCGGAAGTAATGCGAATGCGAAAGAGAAGAAAGTTGAAGGATTCCCAAAGATGGACGAAGGGACTTTAAAAACATTTGTGGAAAAAGTTACGCCTTTTGATTTCGAGAAGGACATGGGAGAGTGGGATGATGAGAAGTCTAGTCATGATTCAAGTATGGATCCTTTGGTATGTATTCTATTATGATTTGCCATTTTTGTGCCGAAGAAAATGTATTACAAGTTCGTCAAGGAAAGTGATACTAACACACTGCAGAACTGGTGTCCTCATCGCAAAAATCTCGCATTCTTCACCCTATGTCTTGCTTTCTCAATAGTAGGCATGCAACGACTAATGTTCGTTTCCGTAAATGCAGTCATCACCGCACAATTTTCCATCTCATCTACTCAAACTGCATTGTTGACAGGAATTGCATTCATTTTCTCTGCGATCAGTAGTCCATTTTGGGAAATATTGAATATGAAGGTGGGAAAAAGAGGAATTTTCATTTTTGCTGCGGCTTTGATGTTGGTGGGTAGTTTGTGGAATATGCATGTTCAGAGCTATGGTCAATTTTTGGGAGGTAGAATGATGCAGGGAGTAGGATGGGGAGCTTTTGAAGCGTTGGTTGGAGGTGCCATGGCGGAAATGTATTTTGTGAGTATTATCATCTGCTCTTGTCTGTCGATCGCGGGTTTCGGAAGCAAGAAATACTCAAAACCCAGAGAGACTATTCAAAAGTAAAGAATTATACTAACAAGAATAGGAATCACAACTCCCCATTCGCCTGACAATCCTCTCAACAATCGACGTCTTTTTCACTTGGGGAACCCCTATTCTCGGCGGTTATCTAAGCCAGACAATCGATGGGTACGGAAATCAAATCATGGTCATGAATATCATCCAAGCCATTTCGATATTCCTTTTACTTATCGCCTTTCCGGAAACATCTTTCTATCGTACTTCGCATCCCACTCCTCCGACATCTTCCCCTACCATCTCCTTCCAATCGTGGTGGAAAACATTACACCTTATGCCATATTGGGGCAATCCATCCAGAGAAGACCTATTAAGGCCACTCAAGAAACTCGCCTCTCCCATCACACTCCTTACATTCGTCTTGGCTTCATTACCAATAGCATCCGCATACGCATTTGCACTAAGCCTTTCAAGTTTCCTCTCCGCTTCGCCTCTATTCATCTTCCCAAGCCAAGTAGGATATATCTTCATCGGACCCTTCGTTCTCTCCCTCATCTCCTACGGTCTCTTATCCATCGTCTCCCCCGGAAAACCCATCCTTCCTTCTTCCGAAAAAGTCCTCGGTGGAACCTCAACCAGCGCTCTCCGCATCGCAATCCCAGGCCTCATCCTCTTCACCACAGGTACCATCGCCTTCTCTCAATACGTCTCCACGACGCTTATTCCCCAAGCCACGAAAGTTAGCTCCACCGTCTTCATCGTCTCAACGCCAGGTATGGATTGCAGTCTCAAAGTTGTCAGTTTAATCTTCGGCGTCTTGGTTGCCGGAGCCGCCATCTTGGGATTCGCGGTGGAGAGATACTTAGCGATTCAGCAGGGTGTAGATGATCATGGGAAAGAAGAGGGTCAGAGAGGAAGAGGGGGATTGGATCGGGCGCACGCGGTTTTGCAGAATTTGTTCACCGGGTTTTTGGTCATTGCGATGCCGAGTTGGATAGAACAGGGAATGGGGGCGGAGATGGGTGGAGTCATGGGATTGAAGGATACGGGGTTGGGGGTGGGAATTTTTGGGTTTGTAGGCGGTGTGGCGGTCGTGGTGGGCTTGTGGGTGGTGGGGGGCAGGATTACGGGCGGAGAGGCGGGGAGGAAGAGGGAGGAAGAGGGGGTTTATAGGATTAGGGAGTTGGAGGTTTAGAGCTTTAGAGGTTAAAATGTGTGGAGTTTAGTTGCCGAAAACAGAAGGCGGGATTGTATGGATTGGATTTGATTGGATTGGATTGGGATAGACTGGCATGGATTGAATTGGAATGGAATGGGATGGGATGGGGTATCGAAAGATTGATACTGGAGTTATGGAATATGTATATATTAATCAGTTGATCTGATTAATGATATGTATGTATATTATTATAATAGATGAATTAATGTCTATAAAATTACATTATTTGATTTCTTCTTGTCTTTTCTTTTTTTCTTTTTCCTTTATTCTATCTTCTTCTCAAATCGCTGAATGCAAATTCCTCTCGAACTTGATTCGTATAGTCTTCTCGATTGTGGAATCATATCAATTCAATCTTTTATTGTTTGTTTGTTTGTTTGTTTGTAGTTCATATATTAGACGTTATGTTATATGTTATGTTATACTTTATATTTGATACATCACTCCGCACTCATCACTCCTATCCCTTACTCATTAGACCCTTCATCAACCTATCACTTCTATAACAAATTCTAAATTCTCATCCCATCATTTTTCCCAGCTTTCACCTATAACCTATCACTTACTCACTCACTCACTCACTCACTCACTCACTAACTCATTCACTCCCTCCCTCTCTTGTTCATTCCCAATTTCTACTCATTATCTTCCAATCCCCAAGCTCTATTTCTCAATCCCCAAGCTCTATTTCTCAACCCCCAACCTTCATTATCTCTGACTTGTTTAAAGACATCTTTTAAATATCGAAATATGTACTCGAGTAATCTAATTTAATTTAATCCATTTTAGTATAATATTTAAAACTCAAACCTCAAACCTCAAACCTCAGATCCTAAATTCCTAAAATCCATAAATCAACCATCTGCTTACTATCAAATCTTACAATTTCAAAGAACTTATTTTATCTATACTGTAGGTTTTTGTTTTTGTATTTCTACATATATTTTATATATTTATATAGGATCTGATAAGTGATATACTGATATGTTTGAGATACAGTTATGGTTGAGATATGATTATGCTTGTGGTTATGATTAAGATCAAAATTGAGGTGATGATTAACATGAGGAGGTGTGATGTTAATTTATTGAGTATTTGAAGACTTAGGGTTGCTTGGAGTTGTTTGTATATGTATGCATGCACATGTATGTTTTTATAAAGGAATGGAAATACATACTGCTAGCTACCTAGGGAGTTTGAGGATATAGTAAACAAGTAAATAAGTAAAAAAGTGAAAAATAAACCAATAAAGAAACCATCGCTTGATCAATTTCAAACCATATCATAGGTATAAACCATTACAATCCATTCCAATACCATCGCTCCAAACCCCAGAACCTAGTCACAAATCGGCATACCTATTTCCCAATCCCCTTCTCCGCCACCTCCTCGAAAATCTCTGTTGCGACATTCCTCCCCACCATCCTCCCCGCGTTCCATGCCTCTTCGACCATATCCCCCAATACCCTCTCGATTCCCCGCGTTGTCCATATGTGATCTCCAAGTTTCAGAGATCCTTTTTCTTCTTGTGAATCGGAGGGAAAGGTTTGGGTGAGTGGATATGCGTGTGTAATTTCTTGCTGGTTCCAAGTTTCGAGGTTGGTTGAGTTGGGGAGATGAAGAATGCTAGAGAAGGAAGTGGGGGTGAGGGGGTGGGAGGAGAGGAGACGGTAGAGATATTTGGGAGGGTTTGGAGGGTGGGGAGAATGGGGATTGAAATCTGGTGATTGGGAAGGAGGGAAAATGGTGCGGAGGAGAGAAAGTTCGATGAGGGAGTTGAAGGGGGAAGTGGAGGGCTGGCGAGAATCGAGGATGGGGAGGAGTTGTGCGGGGAGGGGGGATGGTGCGTTTTTAAGTGAAGAAGTGAGGAGTGAGGAGGTGGTGAAGAATGTGATGTATAGGGGTTGGTATTCGATATCCTGGAAATCGTCGTCGAGAGGGTAGAGCGATTCGCCATCTTGTGTTTTCCCCAGGAGTTCTGTGTAGTTGAACGGGGCGGCGATGATGATTTTATCGAATTCTTCAGAGCTTAGAGCGTTCTCATTATGTGCTGCGTTTTCCCATTGTATCATCCACTTTGCATGATCTCCAATGACTTCTTCCCACCGAGCATGGACCACTTTTGCACCGAGATGAAGCATTGCTTTGTTCTCTCTCAATGATCTCTCCATTGCCATTTGATGAAATCCTTGATTGACAGCCTTCGGAGACCCGGATTCTTCTCGCTCAAGTGCAATACTTAATGTGAGATCACTTATCTGCTCAATTGACTGTCCAGTATGACGCCGAACTTGCGGGGCTAGTATATCTCGTATGTAGGCTCCTTCGACTCCATTTTTTCTCAGTCTTTCGGTTGCAGGAAGGCTAAAGGGGGTGTATCCAAATTTGTTGGAAATTATGTAGGTCAGATCCCTGACAGAGGATACCGCTGTAGTGTTGAGTTTAGGAAGGAAATCGTGGAGGGATTTCATGGTGCCTGTTGGGATTCTTGGGGCGTGCCAAACAGAAGGTCCATATTTTATGAAAAGATAGATGTAATGTTTCCAAGGAGTGGTAGAATAAGGTCGGTATGTTTCGGTAACGATATTATTTCCATTGAAACTGCGGATTTCAGTTGTGAATTTATTACTTGAACATATTTGAGGTAGCAAAACAATGTAAACTTACTATGCAACTTTTCCCATCCCAAGATTCTCGCTTTCAGTAATTATATCTGCCTGCGCATTCACATTTTCGATCCCGCCAATAATACTTAACAGCTTGCCATTCAATACTCCGCTCGCAACATCTTCAACCTCAAGCTCTATGCCATTTGTACCCTCTACCACCATCCTGCCGCCAACTCTTGTCTTCTCATCATAAACAACAATCTCCACTTGAACATCAATATTTCGATCTCTGAAATCCTGACTAAATCGTGAAAGCCCATCTCTCACACCTTGAACAACACCAACCCCCGCGGGCCCAGCACCAATAATACCAATCTTGAGATTCACGACTCGTGCTGCTGATTTCCCATTCCAAACGATAGATAAAGGCAATATCACTGTACCGAGAATCATCAATGCAGTCAGGAACGCCCCGATGACCGTGAGTAATCGTTTGGAGAACTTCCTGCTCTTTCTGTTATCCACATCTCCCAATTCTGGACGAGAATCCTGGGTCACTATTGGAAGAAGAGGTGATGACTCCGAGTATGAGTATTTTGGAGGACTTTCAGGCGTATATGGTGGTGGTGGGCCAGCCTTATGCATTTTGATTGTCATATTTGCTTGACATCAACACATTCGCTAATTATTGAAAGAATCACGTCGGGATAGCAATGTCGAGGTTTTGATCCATCATATAGAGCTGAAAATCACAGCCTGAATCTTGATACATGAAGTGAGGTGATGGTCATCAAATGTATTGCGCCTCCGTGTGACGGTCGCAATGCGGCCGCCTGCATAAAACAGGGTATAAATATCTAATAGGATTGGGCGCCGCCACGGGTCGCTATCTTGATAGGCTTTTTATGATGCAGTTATTGTCGCATGTAAGGCATACTTACAGCGTGATTATCATTTGAATGGTCGTTCATTAATCGGATATTTTCCAGGCGGCAAACGAGCTCAAAAATTATCGATGTTGTGAATAGGTATCGTGATCAACCCAACACCCTTCAAGATCAAGATGAAAATGTGCATCCTGCTCCAAAATTCTTGAATAACTCCACCCCCAATAACACCTCCTTACTCACTTAAGTCCATCGCTCCCACGTCCCAAACTACTTTCCAATCTTCATCAATGCCTCTCGTTCGGCCAAAAAATACTGAATCCCACCACCATGATGAGAAAAATATAAAACACGCCCACCAACGATATTACAAAAATCGACATCCAAGTAGCTGCTCTAAACCTCGATGCATCGTCCAATCTAACAGCTGGAATTTGATAAGGACGAGGTTCAGTCGGTAGATGGAGATGTAGAAGAGGTGTTCTTTCTGTATATGAGGGCGGGCGTGATGTATATGGTGGAGGAGGATCGTTCATTGTGATATCGATCAGGTATATATCTCTCGATTTGAGCTTGAAGGATAGAATGAAGGAGTGGGAAATAGTTTAATAGATATAATAGCAACAAGAATTGTCAGATTTTCTCATGATGGTTAACAGCATGGCATTCGTATTCGCTAGTGCGATGTGATTGGCTTTCTGTTTGAGGATCTGACAGTCATGTAACCTATGTTAGTAGCGGTGGCTGATGAAAATGCGGGGTAGAAAATAGCCAAATCAGATAGCATTGTAGTAGCGAATAAAATCCAATTTTGGAAAGGCAAGGATGAAACACGGTTCATGACTGTCATTGAGCTAAGATCTATCGTATTTCTCGCCAATATTTAACATTCACTTTTCTCCCCATAAAAGGAGAGATTTTGCTTCGCTTAGCCTCCTTATTCTTGTAGTCAAAATTTGGAATAGCATGCCGCCCTCCTACTTTTTAACATTTTAACTCCTCCAACTAGCACTCAGCTAACTTCTTAGAGCTAATCCCTCAGCCCAGCTAATGCCTTTCCACCATTGATAGGCAGAATAGAAATCCAACTAGTCTGCAATGCCTTCTTCTCTACAATCTCCTTGCTATACCCCTCCATTTCCTCAACATCCCAATTAACTCCCACCATTCCTCCTCTTAAATAGTCTGCTCTTTCCTGAACCAGATACAATGCCAACATACCAGTCAAATCTGCATGATCTTGAGCATATGGTTTGAAATGTTCCGACACCATATCAGTAAGTACGATTCCTGGCATCGTGGTGAAAACACGGAGGGAAGGATATTCGACGTGAAGATGCTCGGATAAACGTTGTTCTGCAAGTTTAGAAATATTGTATGCGGATCCACCAGGTCCTGTGAGAGCAGCACGTCCGGAGGAGACGGTAATGATTGTGCCAGTCGGCGATTTAGGGGAAGGTTGAGATCGGATAAAGTGGTGGGTCATATGATAAAGACCTTTGAGATTAATTTCCTAGTTTTCATCAAATGTTAGTTTGATTTTCCCCAATCATTTCAACTCTACTAGTTCAGATGGATATTGACATCGACGTAAAAGACTCACAATACCCTTCCACCAATCACTTGGTTCCTCTTCTCCAATCATACCATTTGACATATATCCAGCGTTGTTCAATAGAACATCAGCATGTCTACCGAATTCCTTCTGTACCGTCTCATAAAGATTCTTAACATCTTCTTCATTTGCAATATCGACTTTCACACTAAGAAATTTGGTTTCCGGACTAATTGGCTGAAGTTTCTCGATAAGAGAGTCTATAGGCGGGACTCGACGAGCTGCGAGCACTATACCAGATGCATGTGCTTCAGCCCAAACTCTCGCTGCTGCCTAATTCGAGATAATGTTAGAATGGACAATCAAGATTGTGTAACAGGGAATATAGAATAGTACTCACTGCTCCAAGTCCAGCACTAGCTCCCGTGATAATAATAATTTTACCAGATTGATTGTTTGCTGGATTTTTAGAATCGATAGCCCAGTAAGGATCACGATGAATAGATTTAGTGATAGCGAAAGGCGTAGTATACGCATCAGGATCTGGTGTTTCACTCATTTTCAGTTTTGGTATGTGTTTCGACAAAGAAGGACAACTAAGTAGATCGAGTGTCTGGATTTCGTGTAAGAGTTGAAGTTTTATTCTGCAATTGATGTGGTGTGCTGAAATGTGAATTCTTCAGAAGAGGTGAAGCTTCTTTATAGCAGAGCTAAGTGAAATGCAATCGGTTTTGAAAAGTAGATATCAAAAGAAAATGGAAATGAAGGGACCTGTCAAGTATTATATAGTCTCCTAACCATAGATCCAAGAATGTACGTTATTAATCCACTTTCAGAAATCTATACGAATTGCCAACTCAGCAAAATCAGCAACATTAATCAATCCCTTTCGTACATCTTACAAAGCAATCGCCGAATTCTTATAAAGCAACATAACGACGTCGGGTCTGATTCTCATGTCCTCGGCTGCGATTTTGATCACTCATCGTTGATCACTAACCAACCAACAACCGGTACAACGATTTGAACAGGACAATAATTAGATCAACAGGATGAAAATCCGCACTTGGGAGTTCATGAAACGTGTCAAAAATGTATATTGATCCACTACACTCGATTTACAACGTCTATCCAAAACCTTAAATTTCCATGCTTCCGCAGAAACTCCCGCAGAGATAAAGTCATGTGACCGTGCTTGCGCTATCACCTCGGCACTATAATATAAAGGCTTCGTAGCCTTATCAGCTTCTAGACCCTCAAGTATTATTGTATTGCAAATCATAAAACTAGATTGATCTCATCTCATGCTTCAAGGTTTTTGACAATAAAAGGTAGCCCACAAGGGCGGTTAGAAGATAGAGTAGTTGACTTATGAGGTGAGATTGATATTCAATTCAGCATTGGCAATCAAGCTTTGAAATAAAACCTCATCTAATTGGCTATACCAATGACTGCAATAGGCTTAGTCTAACTAGCACCGCGTAACAAAGGGGAATTGACCTGGATATTAGCATAACACTCTTTGTAATCATTTACTCCGAATTTAGTGAACCTTGTCTCAAGCGAATTGATCAAATTGCAATCTATGGGAATGAGGGTATGAAGGTAAAAGATTCTCTCGAACTCATCAAATATAGCATATGTGATATCGGTTATCTACTTTATATGCGCATTATCATAACTCCACGAGGCCCAGCCCAGCCCAGACCCATTGAACGCTGGATACTTTTTTTTGTGCAACCACACATAATCTAATCATCCTCCTCAGCATTCTCCTCAATTACATCATGCTCTCCATCATCCTCAAAACTACCAGCTGGGACTTGGTACAGTCTCAGGATTGGCTTGTTAGGATCTTTGACAAGTACGTACTTGCCCTCTTCACGCTTCAAGCACATATCGACAATGGTACGAACAATACCCCATCCATTGGATAGAGACAAGTTCATTTGCGAAGCAAAATCACGTGGCTTCCAGCCAATAACGCCCAGGACTACATGACGATCGTTGAGCTTTGGGTTGGCACGGGAAACAAATCTGTCAAGAATTAGTATGAAATAGTGACCACAAGCATAAGAAATACATACCCAAGCTTCATGACATCAGCCTTAGCGATGATACTTTGAACTGTCCATCTTGCAAGCTTGCAGCTGTTGTTCTTCATTTCGGTTGCAACAACAGCACCACGTTGACTGACCAACTTCGTCCTCCAGTCCAACGCACCTCCACTTCCTTGTGCCTTGGAATCGAATTCGTTAAGAGCCTTGACAGTCAAGAATTGATCTTCTCCACTGATGGCGTTCTTTGAAACAGCGTCAAGCTCGGTTCTTACAACCAAGTGAACTGGATCTTCGTCGTTCAAAGAAAGATCAAATTTACGGTATTTGTATGCCTTACTGGCAGGTGGGTCGGTCTCTTCGGCAGAGTTATAGAATGGGTTCTCGTTCTCCATTTCTACTTTTTGGCTGTCGCTCTCCTTCATGACTTGATTTGCAAAGTTGTGGTTGATGTATGTAGCTTCCTCAGCCAAAGCACTTGGCTGGTTAATAGCGTCCTTGCTACCTTCTGAAGCATCCATTGGAGCGTCAGCAGCGTTCTCATTAACGGTAACCATATCGAGGGTAGCATTGTCTCTCTTGTCGAGGAACACTTTGTTGCCTTGTCGAACAATAACGATATCCCAAGGATAAACTGAACGAGGGGAGCACATAAGCATGGAAAGAATGCTGTCTGTTGCGAAAATTGTGGCCTCATCCTTCTCGGCGAGTTCTTGAATGACGGGATCTGAAGATGTAGTAACGTTGTATGAAGCGCGGTCGACCACGTTGAGCTTTCTCTCGGCAGCCTTGACAGGTTGCTTGTCGAACGATCGATCGTAGTAGTAAAGGAAACCATAACTGTCAATGTCTTCTCCGTCATCGGTATCAAGATTAAGCTTGGCCAGACGGTTGAAATCAATCTCCTCCAACATTTTCCAGTCAGGCTTGATGTTAACAGAGGCATCGCGATTTCTTTGTGGCTTGTCGTAATCTTTCCAGCCAAACTTTCTTCCACCTCGAGCACCACCTCTTCCACCGCGGGTATCATAACTGTTGTAGCCTTGTTGCCCGCCTCGTCCTCCAACTCGCTGGAATTGACCTCTACCACCACGGGTATCACCTCTTCCGCCACGTTGTCCACGTCCACGAGCGAGTCCTCCACGTCCAAAGCGGGTCTTGGTAGAATCGCGGGTGTTGCTGACAACAGAGAAGGTAGATTCGTCCTCGGCGAGCTGAACTGCGAACAATGAGGAGGTTCCAGCGCCGTAAACTTGTTGATCTGATGCACAAAAATGGGTTAGCACAAAGAAATCATATCATACCCAACTTTCTCCAGTGCAAGTAAAGAAAATCGCAAATAAATAGCGAATAAATCTCGAGGTAAAAATCGCACCTCTGTAGTTTCGGTTGTACTGCTGTCTTCCACCTCTGCCATCTCTTCCATCTTTTCCTTCAGCGGTCCAATCTGCCATGCGACCTAATTTATCGCCTTTGGAGTATGGGGCGTAAGGAACTCCATTTAATGTGGTTTCTGATGTGGTCGATGGTCCCCATGAGTCCTCTGATGGGAGCGCAGAGATGATATCTGAGAGTGAAATAGGTGCCATGGTTGCGGCGGAAGATTGACGTTGAGATATGCGGGAAGGGAGGAAACGTTCAAACCTCCAACAATGAATTCGTTGAATATTTCGATTTGTGGAGGAAAATCTTAGCGGGGCAAAAGTTCGCGATAGCAATTGGTGCCTTGAGTTTAAGTCCAGACTCTGTGCTTGCCTTACACGTGACGGCTTGGTGAAAAGAGACTCTCGTTTGATCTGGTCAGAGCCCCTTAAAATTAAGATCTGTATTTATTAAACTAATTCTTCAATACCCCTATCAAGATCGATATGATCCTATGTATAATTTAATTCACAAGGTCGACTGAATTATTATATGTTCTTCAATCTTTATAGCCAAAGTAAGATTCAGAAAATCATATTCAAGGAAGACATTTTGAATTTCTCATCCAATGGCATTCATACCTCCACATCTAAGATAGTGTAATACTCATCAGGTCCATGTTCGTAGACTTTAAATCAAGTTGAATGGCTATTCTTCATCTACTATTCACTTGCAAACCATATCAAAGTAATGAGAGGTGGCATGGATCAAATGCTTTTTTATTCCCATGCATTTCAATCAGCCTATTCATGTTCTCATGACTAATATCTAGCTATTTAGAAGGTCTCAACGTGGCCTCTGAGACCTCAAGGCCAACGACCTTAAGACTTCCTGGCCCTTGAAACTTTTGCTGATCTTCCACCAATATCTTCCCGGAAACCGGATCCAACATCACCTTCTCAAAAGCCTTAAATGCTTTCTCATCTTCAAAAATCATCTCACTATATACATCGTAATCGATATCTTGATATTCTGTGCCATAATACACACTAGCTCGATAGTTCGAGTTTGATGTGTCGGAGGATGAAGCATCATGCGCAGTGCGGATAACATAGTTACGGGTGTGGCTTTTAGGGAAGGAGGAACCTTGTAGGGAGACGAGCAGAGGTAGGTGAATGGTTTCGTAGTAGTTTTTGAATTCCGCGGGGGTAAGGCCTGGTTTGCGGGTTTGAAAGGCACTTAGTATTAAGGGGGGCATACTGATGGTTTACTGTGTTGGAGTGAAGTTAGTAAACTTGTTTGATTGGTCTCTCTTCAATATCTTTGTGACTCAAAGTTATATGGCAATTACCTTGTGATATATGGGGCTCAAGTTACTTGTGATGTATCAGCACAAGAAAAGGAGTTGTATAATTGGAAGATCCAGAAGTCGCAGAATCAATCCCTAAGTTCTGGTACTTATTGAAAGTGAAAAGTACTTTAATGAAGACATATTAACGGGCGTTATTCAAAGACACCAACCGGTCGCTCAACCAACAGTTTGATCTCACTGCATAAATTCAATATTTGACTAGGATTAATTAGTGGAGAATGTCAAGAACTAGTACTTTTTCTCCTGTTCAAATGTTCAAATAGAAAGCCACTTGGCATCATATATTCCTTTTGCCTGATCAGAAAGTTATACATGTTGTGATGGACCAAATGATGAAGGAAAGCTACCGACCAGATGATTAGGGTAGGAGATTGTTCTAGCAAATATGGGTTCTTTAGACTTTGGACTTTGGTGTAATAAGTAGGTGTATAAGCAGGAACGGTTTGATAATCAAATCCACTGAATAAAAAGCAACAATTCATTTCAAATGACAGTACTAGTATCATCAACATGAAAGGCCTTCCTTGTGTAAACAACTGTCAAACCCTGGTGAAGCTCCGACAAACTTTGTTGAGTAACTTGTGTACCAAGAGAGTGCAAATACTAACAGGAACTGGTTCGTTTCATCTTTGGGTGTACGAATAATGATATCCTTTGACGTCGATGTATTTGCAATGAAATGACTTTGTGGTCTTGTTTTACTGGAAATGGTCTGGACTTCCATTGGGTTCCGAGTTCCCAGTAGTTCCAGCCTCAGGCTACAGTCTAGGCTAGGTGGTCGGAGCGTCTGTCTGCCATACCATCAATGATTTTAGGAAAGGCTGAATCCAATATCCTATATTGCTCTATCACATAACTTCTTAAGTCCTACAGGTTTACGATCAAAGAAAATGCACAAGATACATACTTACGATTACAATGGCTCACACATCAAGAGAAAACGTAGAGATCTTGGTTCACACATCGGCACCAAGTCGAGGCCAAGATGATACTAGATACCGGGCATTTGCAAGAGCCTATTTACATTTCGAATCAGCAACAAGCCTACAATTACAAGACGATCCTAAAGATAGTTCTGGAAACGTGGAAGAGCGAGAGGGTTTAATTGAAGGGACGCAATATGTGACGCAGGAATATGACGAAAATGCGTCTTATTGCCCACCAACCCAAGAACCAGAGACGAATCCGGGGGCATACCGTGGAATCCCTGAGGAGGAATTATCTGACCTTATGTATTCGCCGCAACTGTCTTTCCGAAGCGTCTTAGATAATCGAAATTCTCCAATGTTTCGAACTAGAAGCAGGACTTTGATGAGTCTGCAAGTACAGTCTGGAGGCGAAACACCGGAGCAAAGTCGTCTTGAATCGGTAACAAGTCCTGGAGACAAAACACCGAGGCGAGGTCATTATGTGAATACATTTCCATCACCAAATAGAGCATCTAGTGTAATCGAGGATTTCATGCTCGAGAATGATAGAATACTTGCTCAATTTTCATCGCCGAGGAGGACTTCGGAGCTACATCAACAACATGAGGAGAGCACACAAGACAGTGCTGACGCGAATGAGATATCACAGTTTACGGATGAGAGTAGCTTGAATCTTGAGGTTCCCCTAGCAATACCAATCACTAGCTCTCAGAATGGTAACACTCATCCCAATTTCGACGCTGCCATTTCGCTACCACCCCGGCGTTTGCAAACGATTTCTCCTCCCTATCGACGGCATAAGGCTGGGTATCAGCATTTTAACGCACTTCCAATTGCGACTTCTGATGCAGATGATCTTGATATGATAAATTTCAACGGCTTCGATAATATGCAGACTTCAGGACAGGCTGCGAATACTTCAAGTCGACGTGCAAGTCAAGCTACAGAGATGGAAGAGGCAGCAGAGTTCACACATGAAGAAACGAATCCGGCTGAAGTTTCAAAGAAAGGATCAACATCTAATACGCCTGAGCTTCCAGAATCATCTAGCTCGCTGCCCCAACATGTGCACGGTAAGCGTCAGCGAATTGATTTTCCATCGTCATTGGACAAGAGTCCCAAGAGGTTGAAATTGGTGACATCAGATACCACGGCTGAAACGTCTTCGGCGTCTCTTCCTGCACCTCAAAGACCCCCCACATCTACAGCCCCCGAGGCACCAAAAGCTTCTAGTATTCCAAGCTCCGTTCCTTCAAGCTCCGTTCCTCCGATGTCGAGCTTGCCATCTGCAGCATCCCTGGCAACATGCACAATTCCATCTTTTACTCCCCCCACTTCTGTTGGTGAGTTTAAGGAGACAGATATTCTCACGCCTTCATTGAAAAAGATTAAAGCAAACCGAGGTAATTTTAATGGATTGCAGAAGAAGCATTTCAATCCTACTTTCCAGACTCGTCCTTGTCGCCCTTTGGAGCGCGGATATTGGCTTATTCACGCAGAAGATCTCGGGGATCTTCTCAAGAAAAGGCTTTGGTCTTACCTTCTTCGGGTCATTCCGACAGGCGATTTAGGATGGGGCATATCAGCTGAACGTACCAATGATTGGAATACTGTAAGGGTTTATTGTTGGGGTGGAGTTGTCAAAGAAATATACCTCCTGCTTTTTTGTGCTAGTGAAAATAAGCTGAAATACGGGGATGCGTGCTGGAAAGACGCTGACGGAGAAATCGTGATCTTGATGCCCAAGGAGATCAAGATCTCAAGTTTCAGTTCAGAGAACTAAGTATAGAATCTCTTATAAGATTGGTGACCTAGTCGTTACTTCTACCCATCGACCTTGGATATGCCCAGGGATTCGAGAAGGCGATACTATCCAGAGTAAAATATCGATATGGCCAATCATCAATTGAAGTTCTCATGACTTGCCCGCGTGAACAAATTGATCTCCATGAGTTCACAAAGTGAATGTTGGCATGTTTGATGGATCTTCCTTGCTTATGACTTTGAGGTCTACCGGAAGGCATCCGATGTATAATCTAACTCAAAAAGGATAGGCGAGAAACCACTACTGGACGACAGATATTTTATTTCTGTGCATACTAACTATTGTTATGTGCAGGTGATGCTTTTGTGGGGATTTAGAACAATCTTAATCTATGGAAGACGGAAAATTACCCCAGAATTTCACTAATTCACGTCATCGTTCTGTTTAGCTGTTCTAGCCTCAACTCTAAGTCACAACTGCGCACTGGAATTCTGTGGCCTACTTATTAGCTATACTGCACTGGTATTTTAATATTTGGCCTATTCTTACATTACTGAAAGCTATGTAGTGCGTTTCAGTATGCATTTTACCTCATTATTGGTGAAGCCTCTCACATTTGAAATATATGTTTCGTCGTGGGAGGCTTAGCAGCCTTACGGTAGGCAAACACATTATTAGTAGCGAATCGCATATACACATACCCAAGTATTCCTGCGCCTTGCCATAAAGTGAAGAAAGCCTAACCGCAAATATAAGGGCGCCGTACATCAAAACTTAACATTCGAGGGCATTGCTAAAGAGAACTTTGATTGGCCTTGTCCATCTTTTCATGCGATGTTCATGGCTTATATTGGCTCTTGGCATTTGGTGGATCAATGAGCTACAGTAACTAACGATGCTAGTTCTTCTGTGGATAGCTTCTAACCCACCCCAGAAGCCTCCTGGTGCATCCTATTAGTATGGGGATAGAAATAGTATGGATCGTTGACGTATGGCCTCTAAAATTACATATATCTTATGGAGCGCTCCTTCAATCCATTTTAAAGCATCAACCTTCTATTAATTTTTCTCATCAATGATATTCGCTAAGAGATATATGGTCGATTTCATTCACTACATTCAGCTTCTGCCAGCTATTAAGACAAGTACAGGACACCTCAA